TGGTTAGCGACACTCGTGTAGATTTTCCGTAGCGCGTAAAAGTGGCCTTTATTTTTCTAAGCGATATTTTCTGCTCAGAGTCAAATTCTGTTCGTGCAGCTTACAAAAATAAATACTTGTATTTTGCTAAGATCATAATGGCTCATTAGAAGAGGCTGAATTTGGACCTAGACTAAAACCTAACACCACAGGGCTGAGCGTGCTTACTTGAACCTATAATGTTGCTAGTTCTCGCTCTCTGGGGAAGGAGAGGACTAGGGGAGAGGATTCAGCCTTCTTAATTGTGAACCTCATTAGTGACGGTTGCTAGGCAAAACACACACCTACTTTCGGTGCATATGAAAGAGATAAACAATACGTCATAGACCATAATGACTCTGGTGCTCAGGGCGACCTTTAATTATTATATTTTTGTTCTCTTATACCTTAGTTATTAATGCAGAAAAACAAATTAGTTTTGTGTGTGCGGACTGCAGCAGATCTGTAAATGGTTTTCCATTTTTTGATGTCTAGATCGTATTTCCTTCTGATAATTGTGGCTTGCCTCACTCCCTTCTCTGTGTGCCCATTGGTAAATACTGCTTGAAACGTAAAATGACAATGATTGTATTAGCAGCTTAGTATTCTGTTATTACTTTAATTAATGTTATTAGTGTAAAAAGCCATGATCCTGTCGATACGTTAGTAACAACTCGCAAAAAGGGTCCCATGGAAACTGGTGCCAACCATCGGTGGAGTCACTGTGGTTTCGAGAATTCTAACTCTCTAAGAACTGAAGATGTATTTGACCCCTATACATTTAAGTTTTGGTCTATAGTTGGACTAAAGATCACTGCAGGTCCCTTTCAAGTGAAAATATTCCATTCCATTCCATTCCATTCCATTCCGTTCTATTCTATTCTATTCTATTCTATTCTATTCTATTCTATTCTGTTCTATTCGTATTAAAAAAACAGGTTACCTGAGAGTCATCTTGTATCTTTACACCAGTGTATTTTACAGTGCAAACAGTGATATTTACATCTAAATGACCATTTTGGGCTTTGTGGGGGAATAAATACATATGTGGACGTGTAGGAGTGCAGCTGAAATTGTGTGCGAGCGATTCGGAAGCTGATGGGCTCCAGAAAGATAGTATTTCACAATTCTGGATTTTCAGAGACACTTTCCATTCTCCTCTTCATCTCAGACTATCTTCTTTTAGCAGTTCAGGCAAGAAGTCAATCACATTGAGTCAGTCTGAAGAAAAACATTTTGTGCTGTTTTTCTCATACAAACCCCCTCCTGCCGTAATCTGCAGTAAGGCCCAGCCACAGGAAATTGACCTCACAGTAAATTCTTTACAGATTCGGTCATGTTTTTACCATCCACTTAAACTTGCATACATAACCTGAGACTGTACCTCTGGATCAAGGAATATGACAAGCCAAAATAAAATCAAGTCAAATTAAATAGCAAGAAAAAGCTGCAAGCAAAACAAGACTGAAAAAAAAAAAAAATAGAAAAAGATGAAAAATTGGTTGTGACTGCAAAACTGTAAGTATTAAATAAAGAAAGAAGTCAGAAGCAAATTCAGAAGCGACCGTATTCTGGTTGACAAGGGCTGAGAAATACTAATGGACTTTTTTAATGGGTGCTTTGATGGATGAGAGAAGAAATTATGTAAAAGTAAATGTAGTAGTGTATCAACATAAAGTATGGTGGGGGAAAAAAAAAAAAAAAAAGGCATTGCAAATAAAAAAAAAGACATGTAAATGTGTGCCTACCATTTTCCAGATAAGAAGGGGCCGTACCTTCTGAGGGGTCAAGGCGGCGAGCCCGCCTCCCGTGTTTGGAATTGTTGTGTACAAACATGTTGTCTGAGACAGCCAGCACGTGGCCATCCACATTGACTGTTGTTGATACAACAACCTGGAAAAGAAAACAAAACCCCAAATTTAAAAAATCCTGCGTCTTTTCACGGACGTAGATACAGAACCAGACCTTCTTTCGAGACACGACAACATCACAGCCTGCGACTCTTGGCTTTAAAGGAAGTGAACGACAACTCTGAATACATCTTTGTTGATGGGGCTAACACTGGTGATTTTTAACTCACAATTGTTTTCTTCAGAACCCGCTACACTAATTAGAGTTTAATCTCCTATTATGCTAACAAATGAATTCAATTCAGGAAAATATTCTTCTAGCCATTAGTTTCAGAAACACCCCTCTAGCCACTCATTTTAAAAGCTGCTGTTTTGATTGATCTGTTGATATATTGATTAGATAGTTTATCTAATTAAAATTTGTTCACTTGAGACTGGCTTCAAATGAAGGGTTGTGAGGATTCCAAATAAAAAAAAAGCTTAATAAATCAGGAACCATCGTAACTCCCCATTTTTTTCTTCAGTAAATGATCTCCAGGTCAGTTTTACAATTACATTTAATGTCTGATAATGAACTTTTTTGCATCTGAAAAGACCGAGTTGAATATGAATAGTGAAAGTGTTTTCAATCCATGAAAAGTATCCCTTCTCAAGTTCATTTGGATGGTGATTGACCCTGGTATGTCAATGGAATTTCCTCCTTTATTTTTGAGTGAAAGGCTCCTATTCTTGTGTCCAGGTTCAGAGTCCGGCCATAGAAGAGATGATGGATAGGGCCTTCTTTGGCTTCCAGCTGCTTCTCAGTAGAAAATGGAAAAGGAGCATATGCAAAACGCACAACCTTCCCGATAAAAACACCTACACAATGGAGTTGTGAAACTCCTTCCGGAAACGGTACCGCTTGAACACAAGCCAAAGAGGAAACCGTGAGATGCGCCTGGGTTTGTGTGGAACGCGGCTTCACGGGTCGATCGCTATTATCCGGATAGATGTTTACATCTCATTTAAATACTCCAGCACAGGCCCTGTGGCATGGCTTCCAGGTTTTCTAAGCGGAGTAATCACATCACTGCGGCAGTTTCTTTGCAGTTCAACGTTAGTAGAGTCCTCGAAGCCAATGGCTAAGTTAGGCCTTACCAGCCACAGCGGTGACGGCGGCAAAAGCCAGTACACATTTTAGCTTTCCTCTTCCGTTTATTTTACTTTTGGGAATAACAAAAATGATCACCAGGGTCCTCACACCAGCTCCTTTACCCAAACACACAACGAACAAAAATCGAAGGGGAAAAACTAGCCTCCTTTTGCGCAGAGCTGGTCCGAGGCATCAGAAGGAAATTCTTGTCTGCTTCTATGTTTTGGATCACCTCTGATCCTGTTTCTTATTCACAACCCATAATTAGCTTTCAGCTATCACAGCACCTTTTCTGTGTATCCTGCCTCCTTTGAGACAGCCATCTGCGGTACCCTTTAGAACAGCCCGAGGGCAGTTCTCTGCCAGGCTGCTCTGCTTCCCTATCTTTGTCCTCCCAGAAGTGGACACCTTCACTCTTGTCAACATCCACTTTGGAGAGCGCTGAGGTTGCACACTCACCTCGGCCGCAGAGCTGCTGCCAGGCCACTGGGCTATCTGCTTTCACTTTTAATGAGATTCGCAGACTTTAAGAAATATATCAAAACACACAAGCGTGATTTTCAGCAAAGATGTCTGGATTTGGTTCCTAGAGCACGGTATATTAAAAAGACAGAGAAAGGTGTATATAAAAATGACAACTATTTTTGTTCTGTCATGTATATATAGGTCAGTCACCAAGGGAAAATACTGTAGTTCAGCAAAAGAAAGTAGACATGCTATGCTTTGTTATATCGGCTTATTCCTGCGGTGCACCTAAAGGAAGGTGCTGAGACAGTGAAACCAGTTAAAAATATTGTTCAAGATCTGACATACTGTTAAGTCCAGTTAAACCTTCTGAGAGGCAGGGAGATTAGCTAAAGAGACCCAGGAAAGTCTTTCTAGTGCCTACTGGCTCCATTGCCGACCACAAGATCACTCATGACTGATGCTTCATTTAGTCATCGGTGAGACAAAGAGGACATTTCCACTCATTCCAGGTTTGACCTTCTGTTCTGTTCAGATGGATCAATATCACCAATGCCACGTGAAGCTGAGATGCATGAAAAATGGAAGCTTGGCTCAATTGTTTTGAAGGAATATTTTTTCCAGCTACAGATCTTTTCTGTTGGCTGGCTCAAGGGTGCTGGCTTCACCGGTTGGTTGGCTGTGCATGAAAACAGATGTCACATGTTTTGCTATCAAGTTTAACCACAAGTTATTCTTCTCAAAAACGAGAAAGTTTTGAACATCTCAATACCAGTTTATTATTAGTCTCAAATATGAATCATTGTGAAATGTTTTGAAACAAAAAGCACATATTTCCTAGCAAGCATTTCAAATGACCCCGAATAACGGAGGAAATCATTTGTCCGTCACGTCAGCTGCCTCTCTGTAGTGTTATGATTCACCACAGGATATTTCAAAAGCTGTAAGGAGAAAGTGAAGTATTAAGCGTTTTCTAACACAATTGGAATAGAAATACGTGGGTTGGACCACCACTCTTGGATTTACAAGCTGAACGTGAAAAACCCCTGCGTGAGATCCAAACCTCGCTGCGCTCCGCGGCCATGTCTGTTAGTAAGATTACGCTACTCGGTCTACGTATGTAAAACCTCTGCAGGTCTGAGCACACGCCACGCTACAACGCAAGGTGTTAGTACGAAGGAAAACTATGGAAATACTTTCCGAGGAGAGACCCGCTTGCTCCAGCATTGATCCGTTACAGCCCACTGCAGAACTCAGCAAGTCCCAAGAACCAGCATTTAAATGAGTGGGGGAAATGTAAAATACTGACAGCATTTATTTTTTTTTTAAGGTACACAGCATTAGAACTACCCTGAGCAGAAGCACTGAGACTGTTTTTTCATTAAAAAAGCTCAAGATGAGGATGTGAGTAAGTCTTTTATATATCGTTTATTCTTTTAAGAGGCATCTGTACCTGGAATCTTCGCATGTCTCGTGGGTTGCCTGCATTCTTCAAACAGTTCTGATTGCACTTGAGGAAAAACTTTAGAAAGAATCTATAAAAATACAAAATTGAAATCTATTAGATTCATCAAAATGTAAATCCAATTTTAAAAAAGTTTAATAAAATTTAATCATAAATAGTTATACCCAAAAGAATACTGGTAGTGAAATATTACTTTCCTATTAGTTAATGAACTTATTTTAAAGCATAAGGTCTCTGTCGTAAACAGAACATTATTGCCAGGGAAAGGCAAATTTATATTTTTAATTTTTCAACTACTACAAATGTATTGACTCCAGGCCATATCCTTAGCTTGGTGTGGGAAAGTTGATTTCAATGACTCATTGACTTCAAAGGCAATGACTTACACCAGATGAGAATTTGTCTCTATTTTTTTAATACGTTTTATTTTTTCACAACTTATATTAGCAGTAATGACCTCTACGTCGAAAAATTCCAAGGTAATGAATGATCAATCTTCTGAAAAACACTTGGCTTTGCCTCCGGTTTGGAAACTCTCGCTATTCAAAGGGACTCCATCCAACTCCTGCTGACTCCAGGGAGATCCAGGCGGGATCTGCCCACCGGCAAAGCCCCAGTTCCCTCATTGTTTTTGAAAGGAAAGGAACATGGCAAATTAGGCCCTGTCTTATGACCCCTTCAACCTTTGCCAGCCTTTAACTGTGAGGAGTCACTCTATCCGGGGATGGAAATCCAGCTTATTTTTGCTGAGCGGCAACCAGCAATTATTTAGGACTAACCCTTATCATCTAGGTATCTCCCCATAAACCGCTTTTGTAGCAGCTCTGGCTCCTGGGAACGCAGCAAGCACTTACAGGAGAAGGGGAAAAGCTTGGAAAGATGTAAACTCCTTTATGCCACCCTCCCACACCGGAGGAGCGAGCCAACACGGGATGTCTCCACCCTGCAGGCTAGGCAAGATGGGGGACCCTCACCATCCTGCCCTCGCACAGGAGGATGGTCACAGCCTAACGCTGCCTCCTTTCTTTAGGGAGCTATTATTTTCATGTTTTGCAGTTAAAAAATGGTTCTATAAGCCTGGTTTTTGGCTAATCACTGACAGCTAATGACATGCAAGGCTCAGGACTTTCTGCTCACCCAGAGTTTCTCCGATGCGCCCATCCAGCAGCTGGTGCTGCCCAAATTCATACACGCTGCATAGCGAGGTTAGGCAGAGCTTTTACATTTAGAACATGAATAACATTTATTCACGTCAATCTTTATAAGTGACCGTGACCCTTCTGGCTGTATACACCTCACGGAAGCTTCCGTGTGCCAACAGTGTTCCCGGCAGGAGGTAAGCCAGGCCCCTCTTCCCTTCTTCAGCCCCCAACACGGCCCAGCCGCAGCCCACAGAAAGCACAACGGTGGCTGCTCCGCATCGCGCTCGCTGCTGTGGAGCTTTGAGGGTGAGACAGGAGCATTATGGGAGTATCCTCACATCGCAAACTGATGTTTTTAATCACCGGTCTCCCTTTTCAGGTAAAGCATGAGCAGGATCCTAATATTAACACGGGATGCCAATGCTGAAAGAGTAATCTCTTATATCAGAGAAGCAGGAGGGAAACAACTAGGTTTCCTGAAACTGTGCGTAAATAAATCGATGCTGCCGGTTGAGCTAAAAACACATTTCTCTAAAACTTCCCATCCCGAAACGCGTAAAGAGGTTTCAGCTGTCAGGCCGAAAAAGAGCTGGATTTCTGCCGTGGTTGATGTGATCTCCTAGCTTGGATGCTCACTTGAACTCAGGTTTTCTGGACACTGTTGCAGGGACACTACCAGCTGCTGCTCCACGGAACCACGTCTTTGTTAGCCACATCTCCATCCTAATTTCATCTGCCTTTTTTTTTCTGGGGTTTCTAAGATACTTATGATCTCCAGATCAACTGACTGGAGCCTAAATTTAATGGCATTTCTGTCATACCTCTTCTTTTTTGCACACCTGCCACTGCACAGACTGCGATGGCGTGGAAGGACCAGTTGATGTCCATGCCAGTAAGGGACAACCAGGTGCTGGAGAGTCATGAGCAAGGGAGAGCCTCCAGCTTTACAGCTTAGTGCCAAAGCCAGGCTGAAGAGGAGTATCTTATCTATTTTTTTTGCTGATCTCAAATGGGTGTTGTGAGGCTTATTGAGCTAATGTTTGTAAATTGCTCTGAAATTCTCCAATGAATTGTGCACGAGGAATGCTAAGTATCGCTCCTCCTGGATTGTTTTTAACGTGAAGCATTTGTGATGAATTGTTTCTGAACAGAGAGCTCACATCCTGTCAAAAAATAGGGTCATTAAGCACCCTTTCACTAAACATCAACTGGAGCCGCTACTTCTTCAATCATTTGGGGAAAAAGACCCATGCTTGGCGGAATTAGACATCTTCAAATTCATCAGGATGAACCTGAGCATTGGGGTAAATATTGAAGCCACAAGGCTGAGGTGAAGCAGCACCCATATTTCAGCTCTGCTGCGTTCCTTGATGCTGAGATATTTCACTTCGTTTTTTAATCTGCGTTTTCAGAGCGTTCATGGAGCACGGGTGGCGTCAAGACAAGATTTTCAGGGGAAGACAACGCGAGTTCAAAACCATGTTCCCAGGCAGGGCGTTTCTCAAAGCTTGCCAGGAGACGACGATTGACTTGATCGTTCCTCTCAGCTGACCAACAAGGATCACGGATGCTACGAACCCATCCCTACCGCAGAGCCCACAGGGCAAGACCCTTTCTCCGCGAGACAAGTAAGAAGCCAGGAGGTGGATTGGTGTTTGGAGAGCTGGACGTGTTTGGTCACGTCTCAAACCTCGCTGCCACTAGCAGAACGAGAGTGCGAGCCTTCCTAGGTTTGCCTCTCCCTGCTATATTTTGTGTTACACGCTCAAATTGTAGTTGTCTTAATAAATACAGTCTTGGGGAACAGCCTTCCTAAACATACCAAGCTGTTCCTAAAACACCGATCTGGAGAAAAATGCAGTCTTTGTGATGTTCCTCTGCTCTGATTTTTCCACGCTGCTAGAAAGGGGACTGCCACCACCTTAATTAAAATGTATTACCTACCGCAAGACTTCACTATTTTAAGACAAAATTTACATCTTTTATTAACTCACCTCACCTATACACTTAGCTCGCGATGCCTCTCAACGCCCATCTGCCATCCCCGTACAGTAAGTCACTTGATATTCCACCCACCAATTTTTCCTAACAACCACTGTGCAATTAAACTCCACACGTTCTGTGGCGAGGTAAATTAGGCACACCTGCGACCAGACTTCATTTGAACTGCATCAGAAAAGGACCTAACAAGGTGAGAGCGTACCACAAAGTTATAGGCCTGTCAAGCAATTAGGTTTTCACTTCTGGGACATCCGCACAGTGCAATTATGCTACACATTACAACCTGGCTAATCTTCTGAACAAATGTCATGTCTCGGAGAAGCTAGTAAAAGCAGTTCATCTGCAAATGTGTCTGCTCTTAAGCCTCCACCTTATGCACATAACAACCTACGGGAGACTTTTTTTGTGATGTGAAAGATGTTTTTTCCATAGAAGATTTTTTAAACCCTGCAAGGGCCTTTTCATCCTTTTCACCTCTTCTTAACCTTTTTGAGAGGAGGAGTTGTAGCAAATAGACCAGAAAGACTTTTGTACTTGAATTTCAACACTAAGCAAGAAAATACTTGGTATTATCAGCACAAGCGGTGGCTCTGGTTTGGTCCAATTCAAACACTGTCTGGCTACAGGAATATTTGTGGTGGAAACCCACCTATTACACCCTCGAAACATCATTAGTAGAGTGTATTTCCACCAGACCCCAAACAGAAGCATCGTTCATGCAAATAAACCTCGTCAGGAAGTAAATGTTTAATTCTTTTTATCTCAGATACTGAGTGTGAGTGTCCTGGTGACAACACCCTAAACCAAAACCTGCGCTGACAACAGGTGAGATCTCCGGTAAGGACGTCAGCCGACACCCGCAGTGACGAGCAGCCTCCAGCCCTTTATCAAATAAGACCTTCCCAACGTCCGGCTCAAACCAGACAGAGGGCAGAAAACTGCACCACCACTGCCGACACCATTTTGCGTCACTCCAATAATTCTGTTTCATTTTCATCTGTATTTCAGGTATTTGGTTAGCGCGTTCAATTAAGTCTACAGATGAGACCTTGCTATACTACAAAATACAGAATTGTTAAGATATGACAAGCCTGCTCTACTTTCATGAGGAAAAAAAGCTCGGATTTGGATCATTATCTGTGATTCTGAAGTTCTTTGGAAGAGAAGCTGTCCGCAGGGGCACACACTGTTACGGGGTGGAGGCAGAAGAGAGCAGGAGAAGAGGAGACATTTGAAGTCAAATGGTAATTCTCATCCTTTATTCGATTACCCTTTAATTGGCTTTTTCCTAAGAAATATCTGACAACCACTTTGCATATCTCTTTTCTAGAGCCTAGTAAACAAAGGATTTAATACTCTTGTTATGAAAGGAAAAATCTTTCCTCTGTCAGAAAATCTTTGGCTTCAGCACCAATAAACTCTTTATTACTGCTAAACTTGGATTTGCTGCTCGATCGCAAAGAGGCGATAAAAACTCTAACCTGTCATTAGTGCATTATGCTTAATTGTGTACAGTATGTTTCCAGTTGCATCTGTTGGCCCATTATCAAAATGACCATTATGTACACTAATTCCCTGACCCTGTCTTTATTTCCCTAAAGAGTCATAATCTTTCACAGTAGGTATCAGAGTAAATCAAGCTTGAAATATGGGCTTTATTTACTTGTTTCTCCCAGGCAGAGTGGAAGACTGTAGCTAAAGACAAACTGCTGTAGATAAGTAGCAACTACGTGGTAATATTCTACTTGCAGAAAGGGCGGAAGCTCCTGGGCAGCTACTGGAAGAGTGAAAGACATCACCCAGTCTCCTTTTTAGTTTGGTTCTGTACAGTTATAAGAGGTAACACAAGGATAACGAAACGTTTATCTCTGGTTGGGTGTTCAACTCCAAGAGAAGCAAAACTGATGTTTGGAAACAACAAATCCAT